TTATTTATAAAAGGAATGATTTCTTTGAAATATTAATATCTACTTGAATAAATTCAAGTTAAAATATTTGATTACTTTGAAGGAGTCAAAGAAGAGAATAGTAAATTTTTGCAATGGATATAAATAAATTAATATAGTAATTTTTGTTAAATAGTTTAGAATTTAAATAATAAAGGATTTGATATAAAGCAATGTGATATAACATATATCTTTACTCGCTATATGATGCAACATAATACACTGTAAAAAACGCATGGTGAAAACTAACAGCACATGATAAAATTTACCGTGTTTCTTTCCTCTATTGAAACACCGAAAAGCTCATAAATTTCTCACCAAAACACTTTGGTAATAATTTTCATAAAATTAAAAGAAAAGTTGGTTTAATAATATGTGATTGAAATTGATAATTTTAAAATTTGATAAATTGATAAAAACATTATATTCGGTTGAATATGCTTTTCAGTTTTGTATTTGTAACTAAATTTGGGGTAATAAGAACTATAGTTTTGAAAACCAGACTTTTCCTTATGAGTTACTATATGAATGAAAAATTTGCCTGGCTAAATACCGTGTAATTCGGTTTTAACTACCAAAATTGTGTTTTTATTATTAGTTTTATCAAAAATATCATGACTACACAGTACGGTAATTTTACCAAAATTTTTTCTCAGTGTAATAGAACTCTAAAAGTAACAAAATTTGACATTTGCCCTCATTTCAGAAAAAAAATTAAAATACACATCTGTATGAGAGACATTTTTTTTCCAAATGATTTCCTTTCCTGCACCGTTTTTGCTGAAATTAATTTTGTATTTGAGAAATTCACCGGATCATTTATAGATACCTGCTAATTTTTTTGACCTTTTGTAAGGTTTACATTATCAACCCTGACAACTAACTCTGAATATTTTTCATGGGTTTTCAAAGATCATCTATTTGTACTTTTTTGTCAAAAAATAAAATACATAGTAGTAGGTAGAAGATTCTGCAAAACAGTTAGTGGGAAAAGTGTTAAGATGACAGCTTGAGACATAAAAAAATATTTCTTTCATACTTCCTAAAATATAGATATATTTTCATTTTTAAAGGAAACAAATAAAAGAAAACGTTTAGTAAGCTAAGAAATTCATTTTTCAAATTAAAATATAGTAAGTATGATACACAAATACTACTTTATAATCTTCTATCACTTCTATTTCAATATTCTATTGTCAAGTAAAGTTATTAAAAAAAGAAAACTTCCTTGAATAATAGTGCTTTAACTTCATACACAGAGCTCTTAAGTATTAAAGTTCAAAAATAATAATTTATTCTGACAGCTTTGTGTTTAAGCACATTTATTTCCTTACATTTGAAACATTCACGCGTTTATATTTTAAAGTAGAAAAAAAATTTACGCAATAAATTAGGGAATAGTGTCCATTGAGAAATTTAATATGACTCATATATGGCTGAAACCGCATATTAGATAAATTTAAAAATTAAATTAAATGTTTAAATCGTTAAAAAATATAATGGTAAACTATTGAGCTGAAAAGGTTATTAAAAATAATGGTTATTTTTTTTTAATTGAATACGTTGTTCTATTGAATCATTTCAACATAATCTGCAATGACAAACAAGGTTTCTACGCAAAAAAAGAGTTACTTATTTTACTCTCTACTTTAACTCGCCTAGAAAACTTTTCCTTAAAATTTCAATTTTTGTTTATTTTGTTATTTTTCGTTGACGTTTTTATTCCCAAATATATCTAAAATCAGTACAATGAAAATCAGATACTTTAGAAAGCAATGCACCTGTAAGATGTATGTCTTGTTTAGATGTTTTTCTTTAAAAGTCCAGACCAGACATGTATAACAGACGGATAACATAAACAGATGTATGCTCTTAGGTGTTCTGTTTTCTTGAAATTTGAAAATCTTTTTAAATTTAAAAAGTTTTTTCTTCTTGATAAAGGATACTTATTTTACTTAGTATCCTGAATCAGTATCAATTGACTCATATTTCATTGAATTTCATATTTCATTGACTATAGATTAATATTCAGAGGAGAAAAATTCTATTTGCTTTGTGCTTCAATGTCTGTGATATGTACTCACACTCATTACAATAATAACAAGATATACTAAATTGGGCAATTTATACACCCAAATCCTAAAATATATAATTGCAACTTTTTGAGAAATGAAACATTACATATTAATAAATTATCAAAGAGATAAGGATGGATTATCTTATATCAGCTTTTCTTTTATTAATGTTCCTTACCCTTATATTTATTATTTAATATGCTCTTTTATTTAATAACAGCACTATTTTTAAGTTCGAGGTTTAGAATGTCAGCAAAGTTTATAATAATTAAAAAAATACTCTAAACGAGACATATAGAATATTCTAATAAAAATTATTTTAAAAATGAAGTGTGTGATAGATGTTTTGTTACCACAAATATCAATCATACGTTGAAAATTAGATTTTATATACTTTAATTCTTAGCGCCATCTTCAAGATGTGGTTTTGAAAAAAAATTTAATTAATTTTTCTTCTTAAAACAGTTTAGTAATCCTTGTTTTTAAATATATTTTTAAATATATAATAGCAGCGCGTTTTAAGCATTTCTAGAAAATTGAGACTTTTAATATTTTTACTTTTTACTTGAAAAACATTCGAATGACAAGCTTCAAAGTGTTAATTTGTTCATTCATATATTAATTAGTAAAATTGTGTACAGGTTTATGATTTTAATAGTTTCATGATTTTTTACTTCTCTCTACATTGAATGTATTTTTTCATGCAAAATATGTTGCGTCATGATTTTATGATTATGTGTCATGATTTATCTAGTTTATTTTACAGAATTTAATATTATCATGTAAATTATTATTAAACAAATGTGATTTAGACATATATGGGATAATGCAATATTGTAAATAAAGCAGTCAAAGTATGAAATATTTTTTAATTTTAAAAACAAAAAGCAATACGTTTTTGAACATTACATTTCCTGTACGATAAAAAAACTTTATTTAAGGAAATAGACAGGATCTTCCTACCAATTTAAAACTCATTGCTGATAGTTTTTTTTTTCAGTAAGAAGTGTTCTGCCTATTTTTCAAAATAGGCTAGATGAAAGTCATGAAATAAATTTGGCTAAATTTAGTATTATAAACGAATAACAAAGAAGGCAAGTTTAATTTTTTATCGAACAAAAAGGTACTTTAAAAGTTTTTTTTAAATTTCTTTCTTGAAAATTTTTAATTTGTCCCATTAAATAATAATTTGACTATTAAAAGATATCAAAGTAAGAGAAACAAAATTAACTGCAAATCAAAAACTGCTGTATATTTTCTTACGTGATATCTTTTAAACGTAATATAATTTTCTAAATAATGTTTGTTTACTTACCTTTAACAAACCTTTTCCTCATAGATGCCTCATAGTAAGTCTTATAAAAATGTTTATTTGATAACTTACCTTTTGAATGTTTTCATCGCTGTTTTACCAGTATCTAAACGTACGATCAATGTAACATACTATATTTTTAATTTCCGAACTTATGGGACAAAGAGACAAATTACATCAAAGATTAAAATAAAAACTGAAATAAGAATAAAAAATATCGTTAGAATCATTATGATTTTAAGCGTTTTGTCGTATACGTATAAATGGTCTCTCTATTATTGAGCTAACTGAAAGAAAGTTACTGTTTTGTGTCATAATTTACTTTAAACCGCTTAAGTTAAATATTAAATTTTGAGGTTATTTCATCATTTTTATAACATTAATTAAATTTTAGTCAACATTGGGATTAGTAGGGAAAAGCGATTATCTGAATATCCGCGTTTTTGGTATTTATACGCGTAAGTGGAGCTTTCCCCCTACTTCAACGAACGTTCAGCTTTCCTTCCACTAGACTAGATAAAAGGAGAAACCACTTTTACAGCAAACATTCTATCTTTTTTATTAAAGCGGGCTTTCTTAAATTGACAGCTTTTTTTTTTTTTTTTTTCGGTTTTGAAATTAATAAATATTTTGTTTTAAAATTAAAAGTAAATTTTATGACTACTGTATTTTTTCTTCAAACTAATAATTTTTAACCAGATATTTTTATTGAATTTTCCAGGAGAAAGTAATATTTGAAAAAAATAAAAAAAAAACAAGGAAAATGGTATTGCCGTAAGTATTTCAGGATTACTTTCATTTTGCTACTTTTAAAAATATATATTTAAAAAAATTTATAAATAAAATAATGGATATTATAATTTTTAAACATGATGAAAAATGGCTCAAAATTTGGTAGAAATAACGTTCAAAATTGTTTTTAATTTTGCGCATAACTTATAAATCCTAATAAAATACTTTAATTTTTTTTTTTTAAAAAACAAGGAAATTAAGTTGCATTACATAATAGAATACACATTTAAACTAATGTATATAAATAAAGCATCTTTAAGAATGAAAAATTTTTTGTTAAAAATTTAAAATTTTCTGGATTACAAACTTACTGGTTAATTTTAATGGTTCGTATTTTTTTTTTAAAAAAAGTTAAAAGAAATATAAAAGTTATAACTTGCATTTTTTTAATACAAACTGCCGTTTAATAACTGTGTAAATATTGCAAAGATTTTTTTTTTAATATGAGACATGTTGCCATTGAAAGTACGTTAAATTTAATCAATATAATCAATATTTGATGTGTTTATTTTTGTTTTTTTGTTTTTTCCAATACTACAAATATTTAATAAACATTTAACATTAAATAACACAAAATAAAATTTTTTTAATATTTATAAATAACAAACCACACTTTTAAAAATAAAACAGAAGCTAGTCGTAATTAAAATGTTCCCATGCCTTCATACACATTATTTACCTCCCTATTAAAAATGGTAAATAAATATACATCAAAATAAATATCCTAACGGGTGTGCCTTTTATTCAAAAGCAACGCACGCTCCGTTAAGTTCCAAAAGTTTATGAACGAAGTATTATCTTACCCAGAAGCGGCGACAGTCCCTTGATTTCTGAGAGCTGGGGCCAGGAACAGTAAAATACAAAGCATCAACGAAGCAATCATCCCCTCTTTCATTGTAGCTACGCCATGGATGAAGTCCGAATCTCTTGATGTGCCTTGAGAATTAAAGGTCCAGTTCGTGGACCGGCGCGCGCGGTGCAAACTTTTCCTTCTCCTAACTTAGACCAGGTAATGCCGCAGCGCGCCCATTCGCTAGCCTTTTACCCCAGTCCAGATTCCGATGAAGGTCTGCTATCAACTGGGGTAACAGGGAGAACTGGATCGATCTCTCTGAACTGCTCCTGACTCTTTGCTCCAGGTCGACCAGCGCGCCTCCTAAGTTGTCCGATTGCTCAGTCCTCCAGTCCAATCGATTTGAAAATACCCGCGCGCACTCACACCACGCAGTCTTCCGCAGTCCGCACTGCTAGCTGAGATATCCTGGAGTTCGAGAGTAAGAGTCCAGCGCAGCTCTCTCAACTAAGCTTCTTAACTGTCAATGCTTTCCCCCTTCCAATTCGTTTGCATGCTACCTTTGCTACTGAACAACGCTTTAACCACGCCCCCTTTATCATAATAAAGAGAAGAGCGCGAGATTCGAATTTAAGGGTGGAGGTTTCGTTCTTCTCCGTGTCTTTGTCAATTGCTCTTGCTCCTCTTTATCTCTTAAAACTCCTTTACAAATTTCTAAAAAAATATATTAATTAATGGGAGTGTTTGAGATGTTTTAATAGAATTATTTTAATAGAATAAAATATTATGTTATGTATATAAATAATTCTTTTGGTTTTTATTTTTAGATTTTTTCTGAATAATTTTTAAATAAGCAGCATTGGGGCAGGATACCGTTTCCTCACATGGTTTTCTTATATTATGTATACAAGAGTATATACTGAATATAGATAATTCTCTTGGTTTTTGTTTTTAGATTTCCTCAATATTTTTTAAATAAGCAGCATTGGGGTAGAATTCCGTTTCCTCACATTGTTTTCTTATACTATGTATATACGAGTATATTCTGAATATAAATAATTCTCTTGGTTTTTGTTTTTAGATTTCCTGAATAATTTTTGAATAAACAGCATTTGGGCAGAATTCCGTTTCCTGACATGGTTTTCTTATATTATATATATAAGAGTATATTGTGAATATAAATAATTCTCTTGGTCTTTATTTTTAGATTTCCTGAGTAATTTTTAAATAAGCAGCATTGGGGCAGAATTCCGTTTCCTCACATGTTTTTCTTATATTATGTATTTAAGAGTATATTATGAATATAAGAGTATATTATGAATATAAATAATTCTCTTGGTTTTTGTTTTTAAATTTCCTGAATAATTTTTCAAAAATAAGCAGCATTGGGTCAGAATTCCGTTTCCTTACATGGTTTTCTTATATTATGTATATAGGAGTATATTATGAATATAAATAATTCTCCTGGTTTTCATTTTTAGATTTCCTGAATATTTTTAAATAAGCAGCATTGGGGCAGAATTCCGTTTTCTCACATGGTTTTCTTATATTATGTATATACGAGTATATTCGGAATATAAATAATTCTCTTGGTTTTTGTTTTTAGATTTCCTGAATAATTTTTAAATAAGCAGCATTGGGGCAGAATTCCGTTTCCTCACATGGTTTTCTATTATGTATATACGAGTATATTGTGAATGCAAATAATTCTCTTGGTTTTTATATTAAGATTTCCTGAATAATTTCTTTCAGCACTGGGCAGAATTCCTTTCCCTTTTATGGGTTTTCCTATTTTTAAATTATCTCAATAATTTTTAATAAGTAGCATTGGTTTTCTCATATGGTTTTTTATTTTTATATTTCTGGAGAAAAATAAATTATTAGCAGCATTGAACCGAACTCATTTTTCCTAATATGGGGAAAAATTCCGCTTCCTCATATGCTTCTTCTGAATATTTTTTTCAATAATCAGCATTGGGCATAATTCCTTCTTTTCCCATAGAACAAAATTTGTTTCCCTTATATGGTATTTAATTTTTTAAATATTCTGAATAATTTTTTGATAAGCAGCATTGGGCAGAAATATCTTTCCTCCTGCTTTGATTTAATAATAAATGAAGAGGACATAAACATTAAAAAGTCATATTTTACAGATCACTACTGACGTTTAACGAAAACATATTTCACGTATCTTAGAAAAATAGAGGGGGAGAGACGTTAAGGAGATAACGGGCAAATTTATTTTTAATTTATCATATTTTTTATTTTCAAATTTAATTTAAAATTATATTTGTCCAACGTAGCTTAGAAGTAAGATTAAGATAAATATAAATTTATGATAACTAATGGGTTTTACAACCACGTGGGAAACTCCTAATCGGAAAGTCAAAAATAATTTATGATAATTGTACAAAAGTGAACATACAATTTACTAACATAGGGAAAGTCATATTCGGAAAATAAAAGAAATGGTCAGTATAGAATGATACTGCAGAAATTATTAAAAATAATTTTAATACTCCTTCATAATAAAAGCGAATTATTGATTATTAACCTATCCCATCCCTCTAAGAAAGGACGGAATGGAACGTTTTACTTTTACTGTTGTTTAAATTATCTTATAAAACTTATTTTCTCACATACAACAGATTTTGTACTCCACAAAATATGTTTTAAAATAATAAACAAAAATTTATATTATTATGCAAGTTGAATTAAACTGTACACTATACCATATCCCCCAACTACCGAGCAATTTTAGTTGTCTTAAAAAATATTTTTTTATTGGTAGCAAATACAACTATCACGCCTCCACGCCTTCTGAGAATTTTTTTTTTTACATTTGCACCAAGTATGTGCTTATTTCGCCTACGTTTTCAAAGCCTTACATTCAGAGAGCAGGAACAAAGAGGGATTTCATATAAACCTTTGAATAATTTACATATAGTGTTGCGGAAAGTAACTTTAAATCAAAATTCTTTGTTTTGCTAATTTGATTCAAAGTTACTACTTTCCATATAACTATATATAAATTATTCAAAGGCTTATATGACGCGCCACTATGACCATTACCTCCTACATCAAAAAGCCTCCACACGGGCTTTTATAAGTAGTCCGCGCAGACTGTTTAAAAAGCGAACCAGTTGTGCGCATGAACCCAAAACCTTTTATAAAAGTAATTGAGAGAAATGCATCTTATATATTTGAGAATTGAATCTGTAGTGGTTGACAAGTGAATAAGGCAAACCAATAATATTCATAAATAAAAAAATTTTTAGTCATATATTTGCTACCACTATCTTATTTTAACTAAATTTTATATTAAATGACTCGTTCGGAAAATGGATATCCATTCCTGCCAACTTTTAATCCTTCCAAGCATGATTTTCCCCAGTGGTAGTAAAATGAAATTTAAATTACAATTTTAGGCAGAAACATTCGCCATATTTTGAACAAGCTTAAGCGGATTACTGCAACAGCATTACATATTAATATATATATGTCTAATTTTTTTAAAAAATAGTGGTGGATCAAAAATATTATAAATTAAGTTCATAAATGTAAGGAATATATAGAAAGCATACATTTTACTACCACTTCAAATATAGAAATAAAATTTTCCACCAAATGCGTAAAAGTTGGCAGGTACGGATATCCTTCAGAGTGGTCTGATCGGACTACCTATAAAAAACCGTGTGGAGGCTCTCAGTTATAGGAGGCGTTGCTATGACATGCCATTCCAATTACCAGAAAGAACCACCTTAAAGATCACGATTCAAGACGAATGGGGAAAAAGGCTACGAACGGCCCCAGGTGCATGATTATGATGATAGCTCTCTCATGGTAAGGCGATTAAAATGTGGGGCATAATTAACAAAAGTTTTATTTCATTAGTTTCTAATTGTCTACCACTGAAAATATTTTTCTAATGTAATCAAATCTTCAAAAATTAAAATATTTTTTTTTCTATCACTGCTTATAAGTAATTTTAACAGATATGGTAAAGTTCATGTTCTTCCGTTCACGCCGGGGTGACCCACCGGTGGGTCACGCTAGATTGTTTTATCTTGGCAGCGCACCGAAGTAAAAACTGGTAACAATAAATTTCCCTTTTTAGTTTTTTTTCGGGAATAATAAAAATCCATAATTACCAATTGTTTTTAACGGATGCAATTTTTATATTGAATTGCTTCTTCGCCGTGATAAATTTCCTTACAGTGAGTTGTTATTGTTGAGAATAGATTAACTCCTCCCGAATATTATCTAATATTGAAATAGTTCTTCTACCAGTATTTTCTCTTTTCCCGTATCAGTATTTTCGCTTTTCCCGGCGTGAACGCGTTAAGCTGTGCTAGAATTATTTTTTTAATATATTCTGGCTTTTTTACTATTATTTTAAATATCTTATGAAATTTATTTTCTTACATACAACAAATTTTATACTTTGGAAAATGTAAAAGTGCTTCAGGATAATATATAAAATGTTATATTACTGTGCAATTCAAACTAAACTATACACTTTAACGTATCCTCCAATTACTACGCAATTTCCATAGTCTTATTTTTTTCCGACTGGTAGCAAATACATCTATCCTACACTTTTTGAGATAATTTCTTCCAGTGGTAACTAATGTGCTTAATGTGCTTTTTTATTTTTTTGAAAATTTTATTCAAAGTTACTTTCCACATTACTATTTGTAAATGATGGAAAATATGGAACGCCGCTATACGATATGTTTATATGGACCGCCTCTATGTTCCAGCTCTCTCACGGTGAGGCTTTTAAAACATAAACAAAATTACCAAAAGTTCTTAATTTATTAGTTACTATTTGTCTACCACTCAATAAATTATTTTTTTTAAAACTGAAGTAGTTGGTAGCTTTTGTTAATATAATAAAATCTTTATAAATTTAAAAAAAAACTAAATCACTGCATATAAATAATTTTATTACACTTAGCAAAGTTCATGTTCTTTTAAATTCCGTTAGAATTTATTTTTTTAAATATTCTAGCTCTTTTAAAATTCTGTTACTCTATTCTGTTGCTAGTAATGACTAATATACTTTGCAAAAACCTTAAATATAGAAGAATAGGTTTATAATCTCGCAAAAAGTTTATCGCGTCTGATATTTTCAGGAGTATAACTGACGCAAATAAGAGAATAAGAAAAAAAAACTTTTAATAAAATTATTTCATTTCCTGCTGGCTATCTGAAGGAATATATTGCACATAGCTCTCACCATAAATCACTCCTTATCACTGTAAGCGTAGTAATACCACAAAGAGACAATGTCACATGTAGACAACTTATCTCAAAGGGATATAAAATACGTGTAAAAACTTGT